TAAGTAGCGCTTTTATTAATAGCCTAGTTCGTATATAATAGTATAGTTAATAAAAATACGAGAGAATCTCTATTTTATTTTAATTACGGATTCTAGTTAATAGTATATAAAAAAATATAATAAGGACTATAAGCTATAAAAGTTATAATAAACGTAAGTAAACTTAAAGAGATTTATAAATAAGCCTTACTAAACTTTAAGTTTATACGATAATATATAAAAAAGAATACGGATAGATTAAGGATTAAAGGACTATTTTTAAAAGAGGGGAATAGCGCTTATCTCCTTTACTATAATATTAAAATAAAACGACTAAGTAATAAATTAGACTATAAAAAACTTAAACCTTTCGAAATTATTAAAAAAGTCTTATTAATTAATTACAAATTAAGATTACTAAATATAAAACGATACTATCCTATTTTCTATATTTTATTACTCGAACCCGTATTAAGAGGTTTATATATAAAAAATTATATTATTATTAAACTAAACTAATTAAAGTACGAAGTTAAACGAATTATTAATTATAAAATTAAAAATAAAATATAAGAATTCCTTATTAAGTAAAAAAACTATAAATACGAAAAAAATATATAAGAACTTATTACGAACCTCTAGAACTCTTAATAATTTCTTAAGGAGTATTAAAATTAAAATTAAATTTAGAACTCTTAATTATTATAATATCCTAATTAATAATTTTAAAAGTACCGTTAGCTTATACTTTATAGGCTACTAAGGAAGTATTTTTAAAATCCTTAAAAAACCCCTCTAATATAACTTAACTCTTTTTAAATACTATTTATTTTTAAGAACGAAAACGTTCTAACTTAAATAACGATTTATTTAATTTAGCCTAAGTTTATTAATAAGCCTTAGCCTTTTTTTATAACTCTATAGCCCTCTCTTAAAACCGTAACTCTTCTACTTCTTTTTTATAATTAAGATAATTAAACTCCGTTACTAAACAACTAATTATACTTAATTAGCTAAGACTTATAAATAAAAACGTAATATTTATAAATATAAATTATATTAGTAAACGTATTATATAAAATACCTAAATAATAGTATATTTTATAAACCTTAAAATTAAGAAGAACTAAATAACGGACCCCTTGCGAGTAATAATTCGAATAAAGTATTATTTCTATATTTTTATAAGAAAAATAAATAATACGTAACAATTTATAACGAGACGTAGCTATTAAAGATTTCGATTTTTTAACTTAACTTAATATTATATTAATATATTTTAAAAAAATACTTAACGATTCCCTAACTTAGGAATAGATAACTTATTTATAGGCCTAAAGGACTAGACCTTTAAAAAGAGGAGCTAATATTACGACCTAATACGTATAATAAGCCTAGGGCCTCGCCCTATAAGACCTACGGCAGCTACTATACTATATATATAAAAATACAGACTTAAAGTAACTCCTCTCAGGACAAAAAAATTATAAATAAGTTACGTAACTATAATTATATAATAAAATAAGGAACGGATACTTATAAATAAATAGGATAAACGATTATAAATAAGTAAGATAGACGACTATTTAATAAATAGTTAAATAATAATAAACAAAATATTATAAAAAATATATTTAAAAACGAGACTTATATATAATATAAATTTAAGCTAGGCTCGAGGATAAACTTTTTATAGCTTCTTTAATAATTAACTTAGTATTAGATTTTATAATTACTTTTAGCTATTTTTATTAAGAACCTTTTTAATAAAATTACGATTAATTACTAAAGCCTTACTTACCTTACGATTTATAAATATAGCTTTAGGGAAGCTATTTATGACTACGATACTATTTACTTAGTACTCGTAGCCTTAACTTTTATTAATATACTTACTATAACTAGCTAGCCGTAATAATAATAATAAATAATAACTAAATAATTAACGAAACTACTCTCTACTAATTAAAAAAAGTATTTTTATTATAAACTAAGACCCCCCTTATTAGGGGGCTTAGTAAGCTAAATTAGCCTTAATTATTAATACTAAATAGCTATAAGAGTTATATAATAATAGAATTTATATAGGAGTATTATAAAAATAACGTCTATTTATTATTTTTATTACTATATACTTCCTATATCCTCTAGCGGTTAAATATAGCTATTTTTAGTCCTATTAAATCCTATTATAAAAAGGAGCTTAGTAAAGAGGATATAGTAAATAATTTTATTATTATTAAAAAGCGGTATTGTTTAAGCTATTATTAGTTTACTTATTTAGCTAGTTTAATATTATTAAATATATAAAGTAAGTAGAAAATAACTAAACTATAGCTATTTAATATAGCTAAGCTATTTCTTAATTTAATAATCTTATTTATATAAGTTATACTATTTAAAAGGGGTATAGAAACTAAGTAAATAACTAATAATATTAAAAAACTACTTAATTAGGTATTAATAACCTCTATTATTAACTAGTTAATTCTTAAAAAAGCTAGTAAGCTTAGCGACTACTTAAAGCTATTTATAAAGCTTAGTTTAAATAATACTACTTAATAATTACTATTTAAAAAAATAAAAAAGGTATTTAATAAGTAGGCCTATTACTTAGCTATATTTTAATACTAAATTCGATTTTTAAAAATAAGAGTTAAGTATATAAAGTTTAAAAAAAAATATATATATATTAATAAACTTAAATACTAAGTTTATAAGTATTTAGGACGTATAAAAGGCTTAAGAAGACTTTAGTAACTATTTAATTAGTTCTAATCGACTCATAGGGGTCGAGTTACTTAGTAAGAATAATAATTATATTATTATAGTAGTAGAAAGTAGTTAAATAATTAACTATAGTTGATATCGATGTTTTAAGACTATATTATTAGGGTGGGCCAAAAGGGGGGGTGGGCCAAAAGTGGGTGGTTTGACTTACTAACCGGAAGGAATGTAGTTGGTTCAAAGCCGGAACCCGGTCGTGTCTGCCCCACACTCCGGCGTAAGGTTTCGCATCCGGGCCAACGTTTGCCATGGACCCCGCCGCCAGACAACGGTGTAACCGTGCGGCCGCCATGAATCAGTTCTCAATCACATAACCGAGATATCTAGCCATGTTTGATATTCTGAAGGACGAATGAGGGAAGTGATCTACAGATATCAGCTAAGGTGGTTTCTGCTAATGGCAATCGACGGGAATAAGGTTTGATGTCAGCCTTTATCTTGAGCAAGGACATCCATTGCCAGACAAATGCTGTTACGCTGTTCTTCACAGATTAGGGGGGTGCGGCAAGTCGTAAATCGAAAGTCAATCGATTGGTGGAGCCGATCTTTACGGCTGTCAGTGCTTCTCACTTGCTAGGATCGCCGTATCTCAAGTTGCTGGGGTCACATCCTGTTGCGGGTTAACATCGATTTAAGCTTTCGCTCACGCCTGATTGTTTGGCAAGCTTGGCAAGGAGGCCACAGCGCTCCACAAACGCCGTCGCACCGAGTGCGGCCGTCATGAATCAGGGACTCAGACGGCCCGCACAGCCGTTGTCCGCGGCTGTCAACGGATCTCAGCTTCGCTGGGGCTTCTATTGCGGGAAAGGGGTGCTTGTTGAGGCAATGCTTACCGCTCGGCTGACGCTCCGGCGGGGATATAGCTACTGCTTGTGTTACACAACGATCCCCTGGCCATAATGCGACTATGAACCAGAGACGCGCCGTACGGTTACTGTCCATGCTTTGACGATGACCTTATGCTCCTCGGCTCCGTTCCAGGTCGTTGGTGATTCAAGGGGTTGCTTGGTGTCTTGAGCATGACCTACCGAATCTGATTAATCATTGTCTCCGTTTCAATTACAGCGACAATTCCTTGTCTAGATCACAAGGTTCAGAGTGCTAGACAACTTTGCTATTAGGATTCGTATGCGCGGGAAGTTAACTCGAGGCTAAATACTCATGTACACTCAGATGTCTTGGACTAAGGCACTTTTTGCAGCATGGATTTGCCGGGCACAATGCTAGATGACGTCCTGCTCCGGCTTGGACCCGATCTATCGTTTCTCGCTGTCGAATAGAAGACGGCAGACGACGATGGTGCCCTTTCTACCAATACAGACAGCCACTTACCCACTCTCGCCCGTCACTGTAGTGACACCATCTACTATTTACATGTCCAGACTTTTCAGAACACGGAAGACCCGTGGTATTGATCTCGACTTTTGCATACGGTCTGTGACAACCTCCCGGGACTAGGTTTCATATCGATATTTGTCACCTGTAAACAGGCCACTAGGATGCGTGATTCTCTATTTTGGCCTTTGCTTTGCGTTCTCAATGGTCCTCTTTATGTGTTCTGGTTGAAACAGCGCCTTTACAAGTGCTCTCTGCTCGTAGTGATTCACATTAGACCAGTCAGCAAACGTTTAGTCATGTCAATGTTTTTTACCACGATAGGCAGGACCTTGGTGTGATATTGGGGCCTGGTGATGGCTTAAGTTGCCAGAATGTTACAGTGGTGGATGCAGAGAATGTCTTTCTTCGGGATGAACATGAAGTTTCTGCCGAGCCTCAGGTCTCATCGCGACATACTGCGTACTGGCCATTGTCATCTGAACACCCTATGCATCAAGAAATCTCTTCAAACTAGACTCAATCACCAACTAATGTAGTCGCTTACTCACTGTCTAATAGGTAGACAATCATGACTATGCTTCCAAAAGTTGCCACAAAAAGCAGTCCGCAATGTCTTTGTGGGATGCAATCCAGTGTATTTACATTTATGAGTGCTTCACGCTAAGCCAAATGACTGATAGAGGCTGTGAACTTCAAGAACCCTCCCAATGTATAATTCTGTGTAATACACAAATAATCAAAGCCACGAACGTTTAGAGATTGTTTCAAAGTCGATATTACCTGAGGAACTTTTTAGTCAAATCAGGTTTACTCGGTGAGCAAAGGATTTATTCGACTAAGGTAGCTGCAATACCTGCTTTACTACATAGACATATTCTTCTCCCTATATAAACCTTCTAGTTGATAACACAATGCCCTTCGTTCGTAACCGTTGTCCAATCATTGCGGCCATTAAAATTGCCATTTCCAATGAGAGTCGTGAACTTCACGTACAGGTTCATATCGTGCGCCAAAACGTTTGCCCAAGCATGCTTTTCGAGGTCGTTACGACCAAGGTAACATGCTATGACCTTCAAGCCTTCATTCTCTTCTTTGTTCCCTTTATTTTTGATCTCCTGATCCTTTTTGGATAGCCATACCACTTCGCCGAGACTACTCAGACGTAGCTTAGGCGGCTTGAACTCCGGTATTGCGCTCATCGGCGGGCAAGTGCTCCCTCCTACTAGATTCCAGATGCGCGCCAACTCCGTGGCGTATGCTGAGTCCATGCGTGGGATCGGATCGCCATCATTAACGAAGGCCAGCATGGACCCTCGGAGAAAGCCACTTCCGGGAAAGAGGTCGGTGAGGCGTGAATCGATGTCGGCGTTGATGAAAGGGGGGCAACCGAAAGTAATGCAAGACAACGTCGGCTTATTTGAGCCCGAATCTGCATGACCGCATTGGTCAGTTTGACGGTCTTCTTCAGAACTAGCAGACATGGTCTGAATTCCACTTGTTTGTAGCCCATACCATAACCACAACAAGTTAAGAAGTGGCAAAATAGCAAGCATGCAACGGCTCCTCCAGCAGAATGACCTGTAAAGACAATTTCGACCGTCTGATCTTGCATTTGGTCATCTTCCAAGGCAGCTTTTATTTGATGCAAGAGACCTGGTGCAAGCGCCGTGGCGCATTGAGCAAATCCGCGATGCACTTTGAGTACTGGTCTTCTGATCGAATCGGGGAGTTTCTACAAGATTTACATCATTGTCAAACAGCTATCTCCCGTCACAGTTCGGGGCATAAAAGGCCTAGCAGGAAGGGGAAAAGGTTTACCACTCACCATCAATCCAGGAGATTCTGTTAGCGCGCTATCCAAGTTGACAAGCCAGTCAACCTTAGACGCACTCCCTCGAATCGCAATCACCAGTATCTTCTGGCGAAAGTCTGGGGTGGCTGGTGCAATTTCGAACAGAGCAGCAGCCTTTCCTGATCCGTCCCATGTGGGCTCTATCCAGTGTCTATCTTTGATAACATATCCTGAAAGCTCAGGGACAACCTGAGCAGGGTCCTTTCGATAGACGGCCCTTGAGCACAGTGCAGCTACCTGCACTAAGACAGCGGTGTGTTGTTTTCTGCCAATATTCAGATGACCGTTAGTCGGGTGGTTGATTATGATAGCCCAACAGATGAGCTCAGGCAATGACGCACCTTTCCCACTTCTTGCTAGGCATTTTCACTTTGTCCTTGAAACGATCTGAAACTACGTAGCGCAAGTTTATCATACGTTGTCTCATGGCCTTTTGATCCAGAGATTCCCTCCCTATCGCTAAGGTAGTCGAGGCAGACTGAGTGAGCATCAAGGTGGTAGTGTCTGGTGTAGCGGTGGCGCTACTTTGATCACGCGGAGAAGGACAAACTTACCGAGAAGGGCTTTGTCACTGAGTTCACTGAGATTGCTGAGCATTGTAGCAACTGCTATTGAAGCACCCGACAATGTAGTGGAGCCCATAGACTCTGCGCCAGAGGCAGAGGCACCCAGAGCATGACGTGTCACTGACATTTTGCAATTTTGCGAAACTTCTAGACAAAGGTAGGGCAAGAGATGATTCTCAATATAATAAGCAACAGCTAGAGCTAATTCTACATGAATGGGGGAGAGCAGAAGGGGTTTATCTTCTCCAGTTGGACATCGGGACACTGAGGAGGGGGATTGACGGCCAACCAAGCCACATGCACGGTATCGCAGGCTGAATTAATGCCAAGTGGCTCAACGTAACACAACGCGCCCGCGAAATTTGCATGAACCTATCAGGAGAGGCAAGTCGTCAGTGTGTCGTGTAGGGTGTTGGCTGCCTTGCAACATGGTCCAATAGAGGGGTTCAATAGAGGCAGACTGCGCTCCTGGAACTAGGATTGTTCCGCTGACTGGATAATGCACGTCGCCAATATTCTCTTACTTGCATCACCCACCGGCGTGCTGCGCGAGACAAGTGCCAAGCATCTACTTATTGGTTCTCGTTGAAGTTCAAACGGAACACCCATATTATTGATAGCCATGAGCTCCTTCCATATTTGATTTGGCTTGCATAACATACTTATGATTGGGTGCTTCTCAAGCACGCAAAGCACCACATTGCGAAAGACTGTAGTTCTATGGCTAACAGGTGAATTGGACGCGCCAACAACTCACACATACTTATATAACTCTTCGCCTGTTTCTGTCCCTGCTCATTGGTGCTATTTGACTACTCAGTTATCCCACGCCAAGACTGCACGCTTTAACCATCGCATCGGCAAGTCACCATGGGAGCCTCCTTGCGTTCTCCCACTGGATTGCCTCGGAAAAAACTCAAAAAAGTGCAATGGTTCCCTGTACCGCTAAGTTACGGCAATCCTGAAATCACTGTTCGTCGACTATGCAAGTTATATTGGGCTGGTATCGAACGGGACCTCGACGAAATTCTCCGAGCCCTCAATATGTGGGAAGATGATGCCACACCTCCCTCAGCTCGCGTGCAGCCAGAAGACTGGGTTGGCTTAGAAGCCTTTTGTCGAAGAGCTACTGGTGTGGCTTCGGACGGATCTGTGTGAGTTCTACCAACCATGTCTATTATGCGCTCAATGCCCTAATGATTGATCGCATTTCGTCATACTAACTACCTCTTATCTAGAGCGGCCGACATTTTGGCCCATCTAGACACCAGTGACTCAGAAGGACTTGCAGACAAGAAGAGGATAGCGCAAATGCTCCTCAGAGCAGCAGGTAGGCCTCCTTTGACTGATATTCCAAATACCGAGGTCACATAGGCCACTGGATCGAAATGATTGAAAGCTTTGTTTGACCACTTTGTCTAGGTATGCTTGATATAGACAAGAGTAAGTTCATCTCAAGGGGCGTTTTATGTTTTGAATCATTGGAAGACTCAATCTCTCGTTGTGTACAAGTGACCCAACATCGGGATCCTGATTATAGACTTGGGCAGTGGCTTAGGCCACGCGCATCGCAATGTAAGCACATCCGTTCTCTCGACTCGTATATCAGGATACTGCTCTACTAAGTCATACTGAACCTAGCAGTGGTTGCGATGCTACCAGAAGAAGTTCCAACGCAAATAGAATTTGCGCCGCTCAAATGCTCTAAGTGCAAAGTTACCATCAGAGGCACATACTTCCGATGTAAAGATGAATGCGCTTGTGACAAATCATCTGCAGGCGGGCGCCCATTCAATTTCTGTGAGACTTGTGTACGAACATGCAGGTTTGAATTTCACCTGGAGGATCTGCGCAAAGTTCACAAGAATTGCATACTATCAACGTGTGTTTCTGATGCACAAGCACAGACTTTGTGTTATTGTCTTGAGGGTGTTTCTGAGCCGGCGAGAGAGAAACTGTTCCCTTTTGAACACGGCCAGCGCTCTCTCCATCGTTCAAACTGTCCTCTAGTACAACTTAAAACAGAGCACTGCGCAGCAAAGAAGAACGAGCTTGACGACATTGGGAATTTGCAAGGAGATGAGAGCAGGGGAATCGCTGACCAGTTCGTCAAGATTGTAGGAAAGGTGACAAAGGTTGAGGCCGAGATCCCATATGGAAACGTTCACATGAGTCTCACGATTGGGCCACTGATGATTGAGAACGGCGTCGAACAGTGTGTAGCCCCTCGAATTTTTTCTTCCCTGGTAATTCACATTATGCTAAATTCACCTTCTCAGGTCCAAGCAAGGCGTGTTTTTCTCGGTCAGAGACCGACTCCAGCTTCATCCAGTAGCCACACCTCAAAGTTCATTGCATAACTGCTTAGCTCTGAGTAAGGACAGGCACCTATTTTCTGCTAGCGAGCATCTCCCTAGAACTCGTCGGATGAAAGCCTTCATGAAACAGGTCGTAGGCAGCGCATTTTGGGGCCTGACTGAGGATGACCGTGTTCAAGAGGCCGAAATCATCGAAATGGTAGCCGATGCCAGCTCTCAATACGTCGAAGGTATTGACCGCAATCAAGAGGACTTGAAGGGCATCAGGAGACCCATATACGAAAAGCTTCATGCTCTGCTTCATTTGCGCGCCAAGGCCTACATTGAAAGCATCGTCGATAGACTCTTTGATGAAAAAACTCCCCTAAGTCTGTCCTCTGTTCTTTGCGTCTTTACCACTCATCCATTTTCTTCATAATAGGTCAGGTTCATGGCTAAACATCGATTCGTATCCTAGAGTGGCACCCCGGTAGTAATAATTGCCAGAAGTTTTGCGATAATCTCATCAATCGCAGTTTATTTGGCAGCTTCATGGTTTATGCACGAGATTGCAAGCAGGAGAAACACCCCCCCTCACAGATCTTGTACCTGTTAAGTTTCGTGTGCCGAAAGGGCTGCCATGACGGATTCCCCAAGAAAGTCATTCCACTTTCGAGAGAAACAGCGTCAAATGGCCACACGGAAGAATTCCTTCTTCGCTACCGTCAATTTGACCATCATAACGACACAGATATCATCGATAGTCTGGTTGAGTATTGGACCGACTGGGGAGGTTTTCGGGAGCCCATATTTCGATATCAAGGCCTATTTCCATGGGACTGCACCGAGGCACGGACTCAAGAAGAGGAAGATCTACAGCCTCAAGTGAAATGCGGAGAATGTCGATTGACAAAACACCTGTGGGCATTTCCGTTTGACGCGTGGTCTGTCGCTCAGCTCCATATGTTTAGGGAGCGACAGTTCTATACGCCCTCGTACAACGATTCCAGCCAGAGCAGTTCTCAGATCGGTTACGACGAGTGGATGGACAATAGATTGAGCGTACTAGAGGCGCTCGAGGTGCTAGGCTGCATAGCCGTCGCGATGCATCGGTCAGACCTATTCCGTTCAAGCTGCCAATGGAACTTTAAGGCCCACGGTGTGGTCTTCTTCAACACGGCAAGGTCCTGGGGATTATTCCATAAAAACAAGCGCAGGTCAAAACTGAAGAAGCTGAAGAGGCATGGACACGGCAATCTTGTCCCTCGTGCCGGCAGCAACTTGATGGAACATGATCGAGTCAAGCTCGCTGGCATTCATCGGGCCCAGCCCTTCAGCCATTCCTACGAGCACGTCAAGGGTCACGACTGCACCCTGGCTGACTGGGCCGATGCAGCCCACGATTGCCAAGTAGAAGCTTACAAAGCTCTTCGTGACAGTCGATCCGTTGGCGTGGATAAAATCATCGCGAACGCAAGGTTCTCGTCGTCCGCCGTACAGGCTAACGTTGGTCCAAAAGCTTTGGGCACTGAAGGAGCTTTTCCCTCCACAGATGGGGCATTCGTTGCTGAAGGGCTGGATGGGTTTGGCGCATCAGTGGACTTTACATCAGGGAGTTTGTGTGACTGTATGTGTGATTTTACGGGGTTGACCGGTTTTGAACAAGCCCAAGACCTGGGGGGGTGGGATTTTAGTGATGGTGGTGATGGATTCTCTCATGACTGCGACGGGGGAGGAGTTGATGGAGGATGGGGAGGTTTAGACGCGGGTATGGACGGAGGTGGAGGAGGAGGAGGTGGCGTTGATGGCGGTGGCGGCATGTGATAGATACGGCCTGATTTCTCATTTATGTGATTACAAAGAACCAAAGAGTCAGAAAATTATCGGGGCCTTGCCGGCTTGTCTCAAGCATTTCTTCTCGACTTATCTCTTACCCCTTTGCTGCCAGCCACCCAATCTCATCTTCATCTCTCATGTCCATCTCTCTAAGACAACGATCGCTACTTGGCATCCGTACTATCCACTGACACTATCGCTTGTTCTCTTTTGCGTCGCTACAAATGGTAGGTCATCTTCTCCAAAGTCAGTAACACAGTATTCAGTGTCTCGGCGGCAGATTGGCCAAGGTAAAAGCTGTAGTCTCCAGCATCGAGAACCCATTCTCTCGCTGAGTCGTCAAATGAAGCAAAATCCTTTGCCGAGATTGCCAATTTGACCGTGGCGTTTCTTCCGGGCTCCAGCTGAACCTTTTCAAACGCCACGAGCACCTTGGCCGGCGTGTCTGCTGACCTCTTCGTTCGCCCGGCATACACCTGGATTGCAGCGCCGCCGGCGACGGCACCCGTGTTGGAAACCTCCACTGAGGCTTCAAACTCGTTTCCAGCAGAATTGATCCTTATCACTTGGAAGCCTGTGTACTCGAAGGTTGTGTACGAAAGACCGTATCCAAAGGGGAAGTTCAGTACCTCCTTTGCCACACGGTCGTAGTGCCTGTATCCAACAAATACGCCCTCGGCATACTCGACCCTGAGCACTCCATCATCACCTCTCTTTCCAGGGAAGTTCCCATGTGCGGGAGCATCCTCAACGCGAGCAGGGAAACTGACAGGCAGTTTACCCTCAGGGTTTACGGCACCGGTGAGCACATCAGCAATGGCATTGCCGCACTCCTGGCCGGGGAACCACGACTGCGCCAGAGCAGACACCTTGCCAAGCCAGGGCATCGCGACCGCCACGCCGGTAGAGTTGACTACGATCGTCTTGCCGCCGCTAGCCTTCGCGACGACATCAATAAGCCCATCCTGGTCGTAGGGCAGGTGGAACGATTCCTGATCGCGGCCTTCCGTCTCCCACTGCGGATCATGTCCGGTGAATACGATAGCAAGGTCCGCTTCGGCAGCCACCCGCGCAGCTTCGCCCTGAAGGTCCGCGTCTCGGTCTGATTCCAGCCCGAAGCCCATTCGCACACCTGTGCGGCCTTCCAGGATCTCAAGACCGATCTTGGTAGGCGGTTTGCTGTGGATGCGGAGGCGGTAGGTTTTGCCTGCTGTAAAAGCATGTTTTGTTTGCGGCTCGTTGGCGGCTTGGAATAAAGCGCCCATAGGATCTGCGCAATTTCCTTTTTGCTCGAAGACGACCTCGTCATCTACAAACACCTGAGTCGGGCCTATGCCTGAGCAGGCGATGTAGTGCGAACCCGTCTCGGAAGGCGTGAAGTCGCCAACGATGTCGAGTGTCTTCCACATTGACTCCTGGGAGCCTAACGGGGAGTAAGCCGAGTTTGGATAGCTATTGAGGACCGAAACAGGCTGGGCATCCTCCTTGCCAAAGTCGTAGAACACCCGGCTGAAGCCAGGTTTCCCGTCCAGACCGACGATGGTGCCGACCCTTCCGTCGTGGGTGATGGGCGGGAGAAGACGCTCCTTGTGAGCACCTTTTGCGTAGGTGAACTCCACGTCGGAGCCCAGGGCCTCATGGAGGGCGTCCCAGGGCGGGAGTCTGTAGTGTGCGTTCACGCTTGCGCTGCCGCCGCCGTGGGCGAGGCCGTCTTTGGCGTAGCCGATGAGGGCAATCTTCTTGCCTTTCACCTTTTCCTTCGTGAGTGGGAGGATATTGTTGTCGTTCTTGAGGAGAACGATGCCTCGCGCGCCCGCATCCCGAATCAAGGCACGGTGTTCGGGGCGATCGATTGCCTTTTCCACGGTGATGGTCGGGTCTTTGAAGCCGTTGAGCTGTTCCGTCCACTCGAGTATCGTACGTACGCGCTCGTCGATATCGGCCTCGGTGACCTCGCCGTTCTTCACGGCCTCGAGCACGGCCGCGGGCTTGCGTATTCTCGGAGGCCCAGGCATCTCAATATCCATGCCAGCTTTGATTCCTTCCGCCACGGAGTTGGTTCCGCCCCAATCGCTCATGACCAGACCCTTCCATCCCCACTCCCCTCTTAGGACCTCCTTCAGCAACCACTCATTCGAATCGCAGTGCTTTCCGTTGATGAGGTTGTAAGCAGACATGATGGCCCAAGGCTTTGCCTCCTTGATCGCAATCTCAAACGGCTTGAGGTAGATCTCTCTCAACGCCCGCTCACTAATTGTCTCGTCCACCGTTGTCCTCGCAGTCTCTTGCTCATTGGCGACGAAATGCTTAATCGTCGCGCTGACGCCCAGACTTTGGCACCCCTGGATCATCTCCGAGGCGAGCTTGCCCGCAAGGAAGGGGTCCTCGCTGTAGCTCTCGAAGTTGCGCCCTCCAAGCGGGTGGCGGTGGATGCATACTGTGGGCGCGAGGAGACAGCGGGCTCCCTTTGCTTTGGATTCCTGGGCGAGAGCCGCGCCGACGGAGCGGGCTATGCGTCGATCAAAGGTCGCCGCTATGCTACAGGCAGCCGGGAAACATGCTGCTTTTGTGCTGCCGTCTATCGCAGCGCCGCGGGTGCCGTTGGGGCCATCTGTTGTCTGTGATAATATGGTCAGTTCTGAGCCTTTGGAATATGGAGCTGTTGGGGGTATGAATACCTTGATTGCAGGCACCCCTTTATCGGGGACATCGCCAGTTTCGACGAAGTTGCGGCCTGCGAGAAGGCGGATCTAAGAGTGAGGGGTCAGTGATATGACGGTACAGAGGTTACAAGGAACGTTACCTTTTCTTCAAGAGTTAATGTCTTGAGAATAGCCTCAATATCTGTCTTGTCTGCCATTTTGAGTGATATTCTCGCCTTCAACCAATAATTCTCGTCTCGGCTTTCTCATTGATATCAACTCATCACGGCCTGAGGGTTCATTTATTGCCCCGCGATAATGCCCCGCGGATGAGTTGAAGTGGGGTCCCAACGGAGGTCGGAACTCGGAACGGCAAAGGCTTACTGATGGGGTCTCCAGAATCCCTCCGCATTTTATGAGCTGCCGTGTGAGGGGATGGCGGATAGCAACGAGCAATGACAACTTGCAGACTAAGAATCAGCTACACAAGTTTTCGCCAATAGAAGCGTTTCTTAATGCTCAATCAGGACGAGTTGATTCACCCGCGATCGGCTGAAATGGATCAAGTTCGGAAGACGGCTGGGAAACTGAACCGGAACATGTCTAAGGTAAGGTGCGGTGACCTCCGCGGCTTCGGCCGTCTTCTAGATACCACATGTAATGTTGACACGAGACCGAGACACCGTCGAGATGTCCTGGTCCCGAAGTCAAAAGAGTTGAAATGGGCATGGATCTGGGCTGGCTTTGCGTGTACTGACCGAAGGACTCTTGAACTGCACTGGCAGATCGGGAGAGTCATGCTGACTCATTCAGTTGAGTTCAATCCCCATTTATTGACCCCGCGCCGACCTAAGTCCTCAAGTGTGTTCAGTCACTCAAGTTGCTGTGGCTGCGCGGAATTTGTTGGAATGAGCCACCAAAGCTTCATCCTGCTAGCGGCTCCCAAGCTGACGTGAGAAAGAGAAGGTCGTTTACAGCAACGCAGAATCAGATCAATTGACAAGTCTGCGCGTCAAGTCCGGCCACCTGTGGCAAGCTTGCGGGTTCCTGATAATCAAAAGATCCTACGGGTAGATCCCTTGCTATCGGGCTGCGGCAGGTCCCCAGATGCAGCGTTTCGCTGGCAGGTCACGCCCAGAGAGCCCGTTATGCGGTGCCACATGTTCTCAGGCCCATGTCAGGAACAGATCCACACGGTTGAGGCGGTCAGCGGGAAGTCTAACCAGTGAACCGGGACAGACGGCCTGTTGCGACACCGCCTAAGAAGAGCCCCTGAACCTAGCGACGAAGGTTTGGGAGTGTCCCTTTTTGTGCTCATGTTGATTGAGATAAATGGATGAAAACAACCTCGAAATCAGCAACTAAGACAATGCTGATGAAGTATGCGGAGTTTGAAGATCTGGGTGGGTGTCTAGCGGCGGACATGTCGCTCGGAAAGTTCAGACGGCTGAGCCGCTCGGGGCTGAAGTTGGCCCGCCTCACATTGCTCAGCTGCAAAAGTCACCGAGGGGCGAGTTGAAGCTCTTTTGTTCTGTTCGCTTACCTCTTCGAGGTGCTCTCCAGCTTGAAGCAACTTGAGTCCGACAAGATGGTATCACTTGACTATAACCAAGAACTAGTATGCTGCTTGATGCAGTGCCTGACGCAGGGGAACCTGAAAGAGACCATCGAGATGAATAAAAGTACTCAAAACAAAGCCTAATGTCCACTCGGTCTTTGTCTCGTGCCTGAGCCGCCGCCCGCGTCCTCCGCTCCGCCAGTTCCAGATTTCCCCCAACTGCAATTGGTGCACGTCATCAACTGCGACAGGACGTTCCACCAGAATAGAATTCGCCCTTTTTTTGCCCACGCTAAGATCCCCCTCTTGGACACTCTGCCCGTGTGTTCCTCCCTCTCGCGACGCGGCGACGCGGGTCAGGCGGAAGCCTGCGTTCGGTTGACTAATCCTCCCATACCTAGTAGGCGTTGAACAGCCTTGACACAGTTCATAAACCGTTCCTTTTGCCTTCTTGTGCTTCAGGTCCTCCTCTTGTGAGACTCATGAAAACTGTTGAATGCTCTCAACGTAAACCAACATAACCCGGCAAGCAAGATGGCTTCGACAGACGCCAATCTCGCTTCCATATTACGAGAGTCTCTCAAAGACCCCAACGTACGAGGTTTCCATCGGGATGAGGAGGATACGTCCTTGCACACCCTCCCCAACGATGAGGAGTCCGTGACGGCAGCCGAGTCTGACGACGACAACGTCAACACGGCAGAGCCGAGCACGTCGTCCAACGGCTACACCTACGGCACCTCTCAGCCGCCTTCAACGACAACTGCAAAAGCCACGGATTCCCTCCG